AAGGATGTGGCGACCGTGCATATCACAAGGATAGACGACCAACCCCACCCCTGTGATAAGCAGCGATCGTTCCCCACCATAGGCGAGGTCTCAACAGGATTACGACACCATCCTCCTTTTCGGTGATAGTGTAGCCATCGCTCTTTTTCAAGGAAAATGACATCATCTTGTTGTGGACCAGGAACCAAGTTCCGGCACGAGCCTCACTACCACCTACAAGGCTCACATCTTTCAGGAATACCAAGACACAATAAACACTAGGTATTACATATAACTTATTATATTTATTAAACCATGTGCCTACAGAATGAACACTTATCGTTCAGGAAGCCACATGTTACACGCTAAGTCATAACTTTGCGCAAATGATCCACACCCATCCTTCACAAGAAAAACACATTCAACATAAGAAGTAAAAGAGATGCTTGCTCAGAAAATCATTTTTACAGGATTTAGAGAATTATTATGCATATCAATTATCTTGCTAAAAAACGAAGAATAATGACAAAAATAACGTCAACAAGTAATTCATTACAAGTCCATATGTGTCTGTCCATTACATGGAAAATATATCTTACGAATACTTAATCATAAAATCAAGTTAGCCAGAGGTATCAATGTCTGTTAAAAAAAGTAATGCATTATTTAGGTCCTATGAATAAACTTCTTCAAGCGTGACCCTGAAACCCAATCTCGCCCGCGTGCTCCATCCATCTCCTCAATCTCGTATGCCCAATGCTCTGTTTTCTTAATAATACGATATGGCCCCATCCATCGATTATCTAATTTCCTCAACCACTGCTTTTCAAGAGAAGAGTCATAGAGGAGGACAATATCCCCCACTTCCAACGGTTCCTTCCTAACCCGGGGTTGCTTATCCCATCTAACTTTGTCCGCCCGTCTGTTGTCCGCAGTTGACGCAGCGGCCTCTACAACTCTTTCCTCAGTAGCTTTTATTTGTATGGCCCTCATGTCCAACAATTCTTATGTGGAAAGTTTCACCTTCTTATCCTGTTTTTGCCATGTGGTCAGGAAACTCTCGATCGGAAATGTGGCATGTCGTCCAAACCATAACGTAACAGGAGCATACCCAGTAGTCCGTTTTACGGTGATATTTTCAATAAATATGGCAGCTCTGAGATAGACGGGCCATGTTGACGGCTTTCCAGCACACCATTTTGCTAGCAAGTTAGTCAAGGTGGCGTGACCACGATCAACCGGAGCATTAGCCTGGGGGTGTGCTCTAGTAGTATAACTATAGTTCACTCCTAGTCTTTTTATAAGAGTCTGAACCTCTTCTGCCCGAAATTCACCGCCTCGATCCATCACAAATTCTCGAACAAATGGATACCGAAGGTAAAACTCTTCGATACATTCTGCCAAGATCTTCCCGGTTCGATCACGGATTGCACGCCCATCAACAAACCCGGTAAGATTATCTCTCGCGTCAAAAATGTATCTATACCCATTAAGCCCGGGTGGCATAACGACCAGGTCGAGGTGCACAACCGCACCTGGCTCAACCACATATCGTGGGTTAAGTAGCTCAGCATAGCGGAGGATTTAACGATTCTGACAAGGGACGCACGAGTTGCAGAATTCCACCACCATCTTACCCATACCATCCCCAAAATAGAGATGTTGGATCTTTCTTAATGTCACTCGTGCGGACCGATGCCCACCTGCCACTCCATCATGTAGAGCCGCAACCACATTAACTGTCTGGGAACCTCACACACCACTCTCTTAGGCATTCCATCGTCAGACTTCTTGAAAAGATGCCCCTGTCGAACGACGAAGTCCTTTGCCTTCTCTCTTATTTCTGGCTCTATCTCTGCCTCGTTCAGATCCCCATTTAGCCAAAGTCCAATCTTCTTATAGATCCCATCATATTCCTCCTCACGAAAAGCTTCTTTGATCTCACCGCCTTCCTCTTCTTCCAACAAAATCTTACCGCGATCTTTCTGTATCAATGAATTAACCAGGAATATCATTCCCCCGGAGATCCGGAGAACTTCGTCATTCTGCTCATGTGCTCCTTCAATCGTAAGAGGTCCTTCCGAAAGTCGTACTGGGTCAGACACCGCCAACCTCATCATCTGCTCAGCAGACCGTTCACCCCAAGGATCCTCCTCAATAAAGGGCTCACTCATCACAAGTTCTGAACACTTTTGATAGCAACTCGGCGGATTCCAGATCGACTTCCCAGGTCGGGACGAAGCGTTAATGATATATTCCCAACCATTGATACTTAGACAGATTAGAATTTTAACCATATTTTGACTTGTAATCAATCCAAAAATTCCAAGACAAAATAAGAATGATGCTCGTCCGTCTCCAGACACCCGTCCACAGGAACCGGGTCTTCTGCCTGGTCTTTAGAAGAATCTCACTCAATCCGACTCAATCCATCTGCTCGATTTTGTGCTCCTGCAATATGTTCGATTTTAAAGTCGAACATCCAGATATAGATCAACCACCGAGCAATGGTCGGATCCGAGGGAGAATAATTCTTCAATGACTGCTCCAAGGCAGTCGGATCAACTTGCAGGACAAACCGCCTTCCAAACACATAGTTTCGGAAGATCCTGAAACAATGAAGCATTGCAAGGGTTTCCTTCTTAAATTGGGAATATTTCCGTTCCGCCTCATTCAGCGTTCGACTCTCAAATTTCAATGGTCTTTCTCGCCCTTCTCCATCCTTTTCGATGAGGACACCACCCGATGTTGTGGGGCCTGCATCCGTTTCAACCACAAAGGGCCGCTTTGGGTCATTGTCAAAGCACGAAACCCCCAGGATCAATCCTCCTTCTCAGAATTGTGCCTTGATGTCGTCGACAGCCGCCTCCTGCTTTGGACCCCATTCCCATTCTTGATTTTTACGCACCAACTTTCGTAGGTGCTCCACCCTTGCTGCGAACTTGCGAATGAAGACACGCCAGAATCCGCAAGTCCCCAAGAAACTGCGCACATCAATAATGGATTTGAGCGGGGTCGGCAACTCCAGAATTTTGTTTGCCTTTTTGGAATCTGGCTGACGGCCCTTCGCATCGCACAAGAAGCCCAAGATAGTCGCCTCACGCATACAATGCCGATATTTGATACCGCTGACGGTGAGCTTGTACTCCTTTAACTTGGATAGGACCTTCTCCACATTACGAACGTGCTCCCAAACAAACTTTTGAACACCTGGCAGCACCTCCGTCTCGTCATTGACACGTGGCGCAGGTATGGCCAGATCATCGATATAACGTGAGGTCACGTCCGGACAAAGTGGCTGCATGACTCTCATCATATATCTCTGAACGATTGCTACGGCGTTCGTCCATCCTTGAGGCGCCGCACACATATGAATTAATCCCCTCGGCGTATGCATGGCCATCATCGGTCTGTCTGCCATATAGAGAGAGGGAATTGATCATATCATGAGTACAAGTCAATGAGAGTGATGATAGGTCTGTCTGCGCACGACTCAGACAGTTGATCGGCATGTGGAAGTCCTCCGGCATCACGAACCGTCACTGAGTTCAGCTTCTGTAAGTAGTGCACCCATCGCAATACGCCACTTGGCTTGATGAAACAAAACCAAGGGGACGCATATGGTCCATACGAGTAATCCGCAATCTTTGTCCGAATCTTACCGTTCAGATATGCAACGACTCTACGATGATCATCCGGATTCGGATAACGCGGGCCTCGTATGTTCCACGGCTTGTGAGGTACCGTATGAATCCTGATCATTGGAATCATGTCAACGTCAAGCCTCCCTCGCTCATCATCATCAAAGGCATAAGCCAAGTGGGTTTTCTTCATGACGCTGACAAGGAAGTCCACCTTCTTCTCAGTAAGAGACCCTTCCTCTCCAATGATCATATTCTTAATCCTCTCCTCCGTCAATCGACATGGCGCCTTCATACTTTTTTCCTTCCTCATCCTGATCCATTCTCTTTCTTCTTTATAATACACTTCTTCTTCTTGCGTGATCAAGACGGGCACTGGCCGAGCTTTCTCGCCTACTCTCTTGTACTTACGTTTTGCTCCAACTCCAAGTTGTCCACCTCTAAAAAGGTCCTTGCTTGGCTGCTGGCTCCGTCAATACATCACCTTCCGAAGACCTGTCGGGCCGATAAGTAAGATACATTCTACCAGTCCGGCCTTCTCCTGCCACAATCTCTGTCAGCGTTTGGACCAACTTGGGGTCCATGGACGAGTCTGTCGCAACGAACTCGATCGCTTGAGAGATGTTGGGTAGAGCAAGAGAAAATTTCTGGGGATCGCTCTCTTCCCCGAGGGATTCCTTCTCCTTCCTGAGTCTTTCGGATTCCATGAAGGAGCAGCGTTTGGACCAACTTGGGGTCCACGGACGAGTCTGTCGCAACGAACTCGATCGCTTGAGAGATGTTGGGTAGAGCAAGAGAAAATTTTTGGGGATCGCTCTCTTCCCCGAGGGATTCCTTCTCCCTCCTGAGTCTTTCGGATTCCATGAAGGAGTAGGACCCCGGATTGAGTCGGTTCCTTGAATTGGTCGGTCATGTGTTATTACACTTCATTACCTCGTAATAGCCGCATACGGGGTCACACAAGACCACGATCATAGTACCATCATGCTTGTTGAAGATGATGGATTCTGATCGACATAGGAAAGCTCTGCCCAGTAACACGACATGCTCTACCCTGTGTAGCACATAGAAGTACGAACGGACTTTGACTTTACCAACTTGTATCGTCACGTCACTCGCCGTTTCGCAAAAGGGAGTTATCCCACTTGCACCCACCAAAAATCCAGTATCCGCTCGATTGATGTTGACGCCTGCCCCCAGGCTTTCTCTCTCACGTATGATGTTCATCTCAACTCCATCGTCGATAAGCGCTGAGTATTCGCACGGCCCCACTTGCACTTTCAACAACCAAGTTGCTACACAGTGCCAGTCCATTTTTGTCCTAGGAGGAGCCCAACTAATCTCCTGGGGAAAGATATCACTCATCTTAACCGTCATTACCTTTTTCCTTGACAATCGGTGTCTGAACTCTTCTCGGATTTTGGATGACGCGGCCAAGAACTCCTTGAGCGTGAACAAATCGCGTTGACTTTCCAAAATCCGGTCCACGATTTGCTCAATATCCAGCCCTTGCTCTACTGAAATTGTGTAGACTTGCTTCTTCTTTTTCAACTCTCCTTCCCCAACATCGGCCTTGCCCGTTTCTGGCTCCCTCTCAATGGCCCGTTGTTTGGCCTGCCGCTCATCCTCGGCCCGCAACAATTCGTCCTCATCGCCATCGCCTTCTTCAATCGGAATTGTCTCGGTTTCCCGAGGTTGACTTGGCCCTTCTTCTGGTGTTGCCCTTGGCCGCGGCGGCCTTCGAGCCCTCCGAGCTTGTGGGAGACCAGCAGTGGTAGGTCGCTTAAAAACAGGACGGGACAAGATCGTGGTGGCCATCAAACGCCCTGCCGACGGCGATCCAGGCTGTGATGCGGTAACATCAGTAAGACCTCCTTGGCCATCTCTATCCATCCCCCAAATAAGAAAACTTGGGGAAGCCCGGGTCATTCTTCATTCATGTCAGCACATACTTGAACGAAAGTTTCCCTGCACCGAGTCATTTTTCTGACCACTGTCTGAGCTCGCTGCAGTATCCTTTCATGTTCTTTGCTCAACCCTTCATCTGCGGTCTTGGCATCTTCAATTGTCAATGACTCCATCGCCGCCTCCAACTCAATCTGTTCGACTTCTTCCGGGGAAGCAAGCCGAAACGTTGCTGGAAGATTCCGCCCCATACGTCGGAAAGCTTCCTTTCTCATTCCTCCCTCCACATTGGGATCGATGAGGTTCCCTTCGAAGTCCTAGATCTTACCTCGGATATTCGTATATATAACCTTATCGTTTTCATCTTTGGTAACGGTCTGACAAAACCGTATCCCATGCCCATCTTGGCCACAATACTTGCAAAACCAATTTTGCCAATTGCCTCGCCCACCCCCATTTCCTCGGCCTCCCCCAGTGCCCTGTCCTCTACCTCGACCTCGGCCTCGGCCTCCTGCCTGAGGTTGGGGTTGCTGAGGAGGGACCTGCGCCGCCTGTTCCTGGTTGCTTCCTTGTCCACCTCCTCCATTATTCTTCCGCTGCTTTTTACTAGTGCCTTGCCCTCCTCGCATCTGATTCAGTGCCTTCCGTTCTGCCTTGGTCAATTTTTGAGGGGGCTCCACTTCCTCCTCGTCTTCCTCTTCACTGCTGCTACTACTTACTTCCTCCACAACGGGTGCTTTCCCCTTCCTTTTCCCCCCTTTCGTCTGGACCATCATCACTTGTAGCTTTAACCTTTCCACCTTCATGTCAGCCATCATGTTCCGCATATCAGTCAGGGTTTTGTAAACGGCTTGATCCTTGTCCGCGCTTACCTCTTCCTTCTCGCGGTCCTCCTTTTGCTGCTTCAGGAGACGGTAACGCATCTGGTCGAAGCTTCCAGCCAGCAGATTTTTCTTGATCTTTGGCCAATCGTATCGCCCAGTCATATCCTTTATCAATTCCCGCTGCTCAACCTCTGAAAAGTTTTCGAGAAAGATGAGGCACCGATCCTTATCAGGAAGGTCAGACACTAAACGCGCGACTCGTTCAAATTCCGTGAGAAACTACTTGGCCGTACCAAACTTCCGACGACTAACTTTCCGTAAGTCTGCCAGGTCGAGCAGTTGATCCCCCAATTGGTACTTGTCCAATAACTTGGCTTTGAAGTCCGTCCAGTCGCGCGAGGCTTGCACCAACTCCGACACCTCTTCTTTATACTCGACCATACAATATCGCTTCACCATTTGAAGCATCTTCTCACTTGACCATTCGCAGCAACTGCCCAATTGTTCAAACTTATCCGCCCATGCTGAGGCATTGGTGCCAACAAAGAGGGGAACTTGAACTTTTAGCAATTGCGCCTTCTAATTATCGGCCTCTCGAATGGCCCGTGCGAGTTCTAGAATGTCATTGCGTCGATCCCCTGCATTACTATTCGCGGGATCAACACTCCCTCCCGTCATCTTCAGAGAATCAACACGACAAAACCCCCACGACCAAGTGTCAAATAGGTTCCAACACGTCACTTCAAACCTTGCCTTCTTTTCTTTCTCCAGACATTGATAACCACTGACTACTTTCAATCCAAACAAACAACACACAACACTTAAAATCGCTATAACCATCTTTTTTCCCAAGAGTCGTTCCACCAGGGACAACGGTAATTTGTCGTTATCCCCGGCAACGGCGCCACCTGTCGAGCGCATCGGCCCCCGCGTGAGCGAGGGCCCTCCC